TCTCTTTCTCTCTCTCTCTCTCTCTCTCTCTCTCTCTTCTTCTTCATCGTGTCTTCTTGCAGGTGCGCGGCGGCTTCTACAACCTCTGGTCCGCTATGGTGGACTATCTCCCTCGGCTGCCACCTCGGCTATGGCGCATCAGGCCTTGCATACGACGGCACACATGGAATAGCGGGTACCAACTCCGATACCAATGCAATCAGACTCGTTCTCAAACACACTTTTCATGCATGTAAACAGCAACGCAGCATACTAGCGACATGCGCCGACTCAAAAACTCGGAGATATGGCTTTCAGATACGAGTTCACTCTCAATTGGCTATGGCGACTTCAGCGCCCAAACATCTCACTGTTCACGTACACGGGATCATCCTGGATATCCCACACGCATCACTCTAACACTCGAGCACACACACACACTCACTACTAATTACGGCTATGGCAGTTGTCGCTGCATCTAACCTATCGCTATGCTAACTCCCTCTTTCTTGCCCACTGCGTCCTCCGGGCTTATTTGCAGACCTCCTTGCACAAGTCGCTGTGGCAGCGCTTCCGCATGGCTGACGCAGGAATGAATGAATGGCTGGGCGCTGCCTCTTGATTTATACTTCAGAAACTCGTTGGTCTGCCCTTTGCCATCGGCCCTTGGTGCTCACAGTCCCCCTGTGGTACTTGCTGGACCGGACTGGGACTGACTGGACCTTCCGCTGACTGACTGTGGACTCACCGCCATTCTACCGACGTTGTACTGYTGTTGCACTGCGGTTTAGTCCACCACTTGCCTCGCCACTTGACCACTTGCCCACTTGCCTATCTTCTAGAAGGTCTACTGCTAAGCTTCCAGAACTCACTAAGACTCATACGCTATAGACCTACAGATCGAACCCCAGCTGTCTATGGACCTACGACACGTCTAYCAACTGCSTACRAATGCACAGGTCACAGGTTCAATTCTTGGGGTCTACACAGATATTGTACATGGGTAGGGTGAGGTCTAGGGATCGAACCCTGGGTACTGCATCCGCTACTGCTAAAAGGTGAAAACCGTTTCATATATATATATATATAGGTCTAGGGATCGAACCCTCGGTACTGCATCCGCTACTGCTAAAAGGTAAGAACCGTTTCATATATATATATATGAAACGGTTTTTACCTTTGAGCAGTATCGGATGCAGTACCCAGGGTTCGATCCTTAGACCTCACCCTACCCATGTACAGTATTTGTGTAGACCCCGAGAATTGAACCTGTGACCTGTGCATTCGTAGGCAGTTGGTAGACCTGTCGTAGGTCCATAGACAGCAGGGGTTCGATCTATATATGTATATATATATATATCTGTTTGTGACGATATATATATATACATATATACGATGAAGAACAATTTTTTTTTTTTTTTTTCTTCCGAAATATGCGGAAAAAATAATTGAACTGGTTTTTTTTTTTACAATCGTGTTCATGATCTGGGTTCATTGCAATATCAATATATATATATATATATATATATATATATATATGTATAATATATATATATTTTTAGTTTGTATTTTTTTTTTTTTGAACTGGGTTCTTTGTTTTGACAATCGTGTTCATGATCTGGGTTCAGTGCATTACCAGCAACTCAACAAAACTGTCCTTGAAACTCCAACGACTCAGTTTGTCGAGGGTTCAGCCTCCTTATGAGTCCGTCAAACTCATACGAAACAGTTTATCACAGCCCCTGTTTTGTTGTCCTACTCTCTCTCTCTGCCAACCGTTTACCGGCCACCTCAGTTTGTGACTATTTATATATAACGATATGTATATATATAAATATATATATATATAGGGTTCGGGTGGTAAGCTGACCCCCGAACGCCCGAAGGGGTTCGGACGCCGCAAAAAAATATTTTCGTACATAAACATTATTATTTTTTTCCTCATTCGATTTTTTGCGAGTTCTCTGTTATGTTAGCTATTTGTCTCTCAATTTTGAAGTCATTCTGTGGAGCTAAACAATAAAGAAGAATCAGAAAAGATGGTGGTGTCAAAACTTGCTTTCCCACTTACTAATTTGTGTTTTTTCTCTTATTACTTTTTGTTTTCGCTTTATTTCGGGGCCTGAAAAAAAATAATATTATTTCAAACTTTATTTGCAGGTTCTCTATTATGTAAGATACATATGTATAAAATTTTATGGCATTTGACAGAGACAAAAAACAAAATTGGAAATTCGCCAAAGATGGCGGTGTCAAAAACTTGCTTGCCCACGCAATAATTTCATTCTCGTTTTATTTTTTCTAATTTTCATTAATATTATTTATTTTCCGTATTTCATTTTCAATTCAAATTTCGTAAGGCATGGATGTACTGTTGAGGCAAATGTTTTTTACTTTATTCTTCTGCATGACATAATTTGTTTTTCAAAATTTTTGGATTTGTTTTTTTTTTTTTTTTTTTTTTTTGGTTTCGCCTTCGGCTGAACGTCCGAACGCGTCGAGAGCGGGTCCCAAACGTTCGGCCGTTCTGGTTCGGGTGTTCGGCCCATCCCGAACGCCGGAAACCCTATATACATATATATATATATATCTATATATATAGATAAAGATATATATGCAGTTTTGTTTGTGATGATATATATATATCATCATGTATATGATGAGTCGGTGAAACATTGACGAAACAGTTTGTCACAGCCCCTCGTTTGTCATCCTCTTCTCTCTCTCTCTGCCAAAGTTTCACCGACTCATCATATACATGACCAGGGTTACCAGACCGAACGTTCGGGGGCCCCCGGGCTGGCCCCCGAACGTTCGGGCATTCGGGGTTCCGTTCGGGGGCCGAACACCTCCAGGTTCGGCCCCCGCCAAAAAATGTTTCGGGGCGTAAAAATAAGTGTTTTTTTATGAGTTTTTTTTTGTGAGTTCTCTATGATGTGACCTACATGCCTATAAAGTTTGAATCCATTCTGCTTAACCAAATAAACATTAAAAATCGTCAAAGATGGGGGTGTCAAAACTTGCTCGCCCACTCACTTTTTTGTTTTTTTTCACTTTTAAGTTTTTGTTTTCACTTTATTTCGGGGCAAAAAAAAAATTATTATTTTTTGAAAAATTTTTAATGAGTTATTGATTATATAAACTACATATCTGTAAATATTCAGGGCATTTGTCAATGCCAAAAAAATAATTAAAAATCGGCAAAGATGGCGGTGTCGAAAAGGTGTTGACACACTCACTCATTTTAATTCTCTTTTCTTTTTTTTCTTATTTTTATCATATTGTTTATTTTCGGTATTTGATTTTTAGTTCAAATTTGGTAAATAATTTGGATGTAGTGCCCAGGCAAATAGTGTTTAGCTTATTTGTCTCCATAACATATTTGTTTTACGGAATTTTTTAAAAAACGTTTTTTTTTTTTTTTTTTTTTTTTTTTTTTTTTTGAACTTTGGTAAAGAATTTGGATACAGTGCCCAGGCAAATATTGTTTAGTTTATTTTTCTCCATAAATTTTTTTCTTTTCGGAATTCTTTTTTTTTTTTTTTTTTTTTTTTTTTTTCCGCATTCGGCCCAAACGGCCGAACGCCTTCTGAAGGGGTCCCGTACGTTCGGGCGTTCGGCCCGTCCCGAACGCCGGTAACCCTGTACATAATGATATATATATATATAGTAACGTATATGATGAGTCGATGAAACTTTGACGAAACAGTTTATCACAACCCTTGGTTTGTTGTCCTCTTCTCTCTCTCTGCCAACGGTGGACCGGCCTGTTCTGTTTGATGAGTCGGTGAAACTCCGACGGAACAGTTTGTCACAG